ACGAGACAATAAGTTTTAATCGACTGAGCTACGACATGGTAAAAGGAGTTGAAACTAAAAGGTCTACTGAACTTACTGGATCTATTACTATTAAGAGACAATCGGTCATTAGGATACTCGGGTCAGGTATTTGTCATCTTTGCCATCTGTAACTTTTATGCTCAATAAAATGTCATGCCACACTTCCGTGGACAGAGTTACAGCCCCGCTCCTGTGCCAGGGAAGTTCACTACGGGCTCACCATAGCCCGTGCTACTTTGGGACTTTTGTTCTAAGTAGCTGAATCTAAAACAACATTCCGTGGACATGAATATTTCCTTCATTATTATCCAATGTCTGCCTGGCACAGACATTGGGTAATAATGCCTTATTTTATACCTCAATAAACACAGAAATACGTTTATTGAGGTATAAATACACACAAAGGGATGAGGTAGATCAAGCTATTCTCACCCCGTTCAGTACAACGTGTTCATATACACACACACCACAAACAACATGTAACTGAACTTGGTACTCACCTCACCGCTCGACCTTATAACCACGTCGTGTATTAAATATTTATATGAATGATAGCGTCACAAAATGGAGATTACAGAGTAATATGATAGCGGGGAAAAAGATGAGGACAATTATCTACGGAGTCAAAAGGCCCCTCACTGAGATTAAAGATATCCGTAACCGGGTCAAAGATGGCTCCTAGCCGGGGTCAAAGATGGCCCCTAGCCGGGGTCAAAGATAGCCCCTAGCCGGGGTCAAAGGATAGTTAGTACTCACTGGGATCAAATCTCCTGCATCCTCGGTCACCATCAGGTTCGTAGCCTGGCCGGCAGGTGCAGATAACCTGGTAATCCTTCACTTGGCATTCAGAGTTAGCCCAACATATGCTGGAGTCGGAGCATGGGTTGACGCACTTAAGCTGCCTGCAGAGCTTGAAGGACGGGCAGTCCCGGTTCTCTGTGGGGCGAGAGTCTCTATGAAGCCAACAGCAATACGTGCATCTCAAGCTAGTGTAAATGAGACTACACAATAACTTCAAAATATTATTTTTACTGAGCAATTCACTGTAGAACTGACTGTAAAGTCACTATAGAACGGTGACTGTACTATATTATTTTTGTTACTGTATACTAATTACGTACTGATTAAGTACTATATCTTACTGCAATAGTTTTATTATTTACCTCAAAATTTGTTCTTAATAAGACTTTGCTGTAAGGCTCTCACTGAATATGCCATTCTAGAACCCTCTTTAAAGACTTAAGACTTTCCCTAAGACTCTTACTAATGACTAAGCTATAGTCATTACTAATGTACTATTAATGATACAACTACTAGTAGTGTTGCAGCCTACCACAACTCCCAGGCCTACTAGTATCACGGCCGGGGAGGTCCTCTCACCTATACACTCTCCACGGTTGCATCTTGTCAGTGGGTTTCCGTCGTAGCCGTGAGGACACCGGCACACCGCCCGCCCATTCTCTTCCTTGCAATCGGCGTTTTCTCCACAGGGATTGCCGTAGCAGGGGTCGACAGGGAGAGGTTTTGGTGCATCTCGGAGCTCAGGGACTGGCACACACGGGATAACACTCCAGGTTATAATATGTTTTATACAGCGCGAGGCGCGTGAAGTCACTAACACAATGCTACAGGCGCTTAGCTTGCAAGGACAATATACGTGGATTATGAAAGAAAATTCAGATTAAGACTGTGACACAAAGAGAACACGAAGGGGGGAAAAGGTAGTATAGGAACCCCATATCCTACTCCCTCCCTCCCCTTTCTCTCACCCACATACATCTACTGATACTCACGGGATCTGGTGCATTGAGTTTGGGCGTTGCCTCTGTAACCTGGTGGACATTCGCAAATCGGTTTATGGTTCCGGGCGTCACAATAAGCGTTCAAGCCGCACGCTCCTCCCTCGCACACGCGCACGCATTTCCTGTTCCGACACCTGTGGTCGTCAGGGCACTCTTCGTCTCTGTGGCACAGAGAAGGAAAGTCACAGCTTTGCAACACTAAAACATAATTCCACTTTTAGTACATACATGATAATATTACCACAATAATAATAATAATAATAATAATAATAATAATAATCCCATACGAACTATATTACGTATTTCACCCCAAAAACGACTACATGCTCATATTTCGCCCCAGAAGTGATTTAACACCTGCGGGGAAACATCACCAAGAACTGGCACCTAAGCAATGGTGCAGACTACATCACCGGTACTTACTCGACGCACTGAGGCTTGCAGCCCTCGATGGTAGTCGATTCGGTGACATAGCCTTCAAGACACCTGCAGCGGGCTCTGTCGTCTCGTGTGACCTCACAGAGCGTGTTGGGCCCGCATGGCGACGGAGAACATGGGTTTGTCCTCGACCCCTGGAAGCCGTCATCTCTGAATCCTCCTTGTCGGAATGCGCTCACTCTCTCTCTGGCTGCACAGGGTAAGAGCAAGCCAGCAAGAGCCGTCACGATGCACCAGAAATTGCCAGTAAAGGCATCAATGGGGACGAGGAAGAAAAACAAAATTTAGACAGTGATTCAACAAATATTTCGTATTGAAATTAATATGGAATTGAAGTTCACATGGAACGCAATTATGAAAATATATAAACAATATCATTATCTCTAAACAAGAATAAATATTTCATCTGACTTTAAGCTCCACAAATAGAAAATTATTTCGAATTAGTCAACTAAATACGTTTTTAATGCCGCATCGACGGCATGAAATAACTGAGGCTTTGAGTGGGAATTATAAGTAGAGTGCAAAAAGAACGTTACAATAACGGGGGCTGCAAATGTGACACCCGATCACAATTTTGAAAATAAAGGAAATATAGACGTTTCGGTCCGTCGTGGATCATCATTATCACACGACTTGGTAATGGTCCAGGATGGACCGAAACTTCGTCAGTTCTATATTTTCAGAAGCGTAGGAAGGGTGGCTAGGTAAAGTGACTAGTTTAACAACAGTGGTAGCCGTTAGACAACAGTAGTAGTAGTAGACAACAGTAGTAGTAGTAGACAACAGTAGTAGTCGTTAGATAACAGTAGTACAGTGAGACAACAGTAGTAACAGTGGCTTGACAAGACCACGACAACAGGCGGCCACCATAAAAAACGTCTAATGAAGCCTAGCGAGCGAGCGAGTCGTGTTTCCCTTCCATGACTGATGGCGGGACGCCAGACCCACTCACCGACCCTCCACTACATCTCTAAACCCCGTCTTTATTTCTTTATGGTAACCATCCGGATATCGTAGCCTTCTGCTAGCCGTACAAGAGGATGAGCTGGCTGTGTGTGCCTTGGTTATAATAAATGTATAAGCTCATTGAATAGCTTATCTCGAGGGTATTATGATATTAGATTTAACATACACGTCAACTGGTTTTAACAACTTATATTTGGGTTTATAACTTGTTCGTGTACACACTTAACTCTCTATAAACCAATACACAAACATGGTGTTTACACTGAGAAGTGTTTACAAGGGACAGTTGGACATCTGTAATTGTTCTTTCGTCTGATATTTTTCAGAAGAAAGCAGACTAGTACAAACAGGGGGAAGTGTGCTGTGTGCCGTAAGGTGTTGCTGGTTACAATGGGATGGGGGTCACTATGCGCATGCATCGTCCTCAGGCAGACCCTTCAACACGCAACTGTTAAGTCACCTACAGTCCTTACCTTACAATCATTACAATCACCGACAATAGTCACCTAGAATCACCGACAATAGTCACCTAAAGTCACCGACAATCGTCACCCGCAACTGCCACAAAGAATCATCAACATTTATGACAAAAAATAGTGTTTCAGCAACACAAAATTCTTCTACAGATTTATTTGGTTAATCCTCGTCACAAGTTACGAATTTACAAGCCGTAACTCCCATTTTTTCTGTTCAGGTTTATTCTGTACAGTTCTTTTATTGAGTATCATTATCATCATTATATTACTATTGCAAGAATTACTTGTAATCGGACTAATATTTACGTTTGATTATCAGATGCACTAACCATGATTCTGTTGCAAGGAATTGTTGAATTCTGAAGACTCATATCCAAATAAAAAATCACTAGAAGAATTGCCGCATAAAAATTTGATAATTTTTAGGTCATTCTGCTACGAAAAAATATTCATTTGTAGTATGGGTCATATCATTAATCCCAAATAATTGAATCACAATTATTAGAAAATAAAAAATATTACAAGAATAGAGAACTACGACATTAATATATTTAAATGATTACTATGTACGTTGCGTCATAATTACGTCACGAAAGTTTATTACGTCACTGAAATGACTGTCTCTCATTGGTTGGTCAATTTTGAAGACGTGCAGCTTTTAGTAAATTGTAATAATAAAAATTATCGTTAGCTTTATAAATGTAAAAATGCCTTTGTATACATAGATACATCGGTATACGCATGTATACATTGATACACACGTATACGCTCACCTTAGTGTTTATTCCAGCCCCATCCTCCTCTTTTGATAGTACTTAGAGTAACGATGAGGACCATAATACATATACCGACGTACCAGTTAGAAAGTCGAAATCAGTACTATTGAATTTTGACAAACTGGGAAACGATTTTCTACTTATGTTACAAAGACAAATTAAAGTAACCTAACCTTCCTAGGCCTAATACACGCTATCTGAAGCCTAATATAGTACAATATGTGTTATACTAGACCTAGGAATATTTAAATTTGTCTTTTAATTTCATTTTTTTCGGACTCTATAAAGTGAATCTTACAAAGTTGTACTATTTAATTGCTTAGAACGTCAATCTTTGTACTATAGTGCACGTAATTAAAAAAAACTACTATCTAAACAGGAGAATGGGTTGGTTTATCCAGTGTGAGACACTCAGTGCAGGCTGTGGGCTTTCCATGTCGTGTGCGTGTGTGCGTGTGTGTGTGTGTGTGTGTGTGTGTGTGTGTGTGTGTGTGTGTGTGTGTGTGTGTGTGTGTGTGTGTGTGTGTGTGTGTGTAGGCATATACTGACGTACACGTGTGCACATAGGCCTATACAAAGTAGGGCCCAAAAATCATAGAATACCAAGTGACAAAATGCAATGCAAAAAATATTATAAATTAATATTTTTGTTAAAAGTTGTTTCAAAATGCTTTTGTTAAAAGTTGTTACACAAACTTTTGTTATAAGTTGTTACACAAACACTTTTGTTAAAAATTGTTTCAAAATGCTTTTGTTAAAAGTTGTTACACAAATACTTTTGTTACAAGAATCAATATTAAACAAATCAATTTGTTAAAAGTGTTATCACCAGATAATTCATTTCGCTACAGATTATCATCACACAAATCGACAACTTGTTAATATGTGGAAAATGTTCGAAATTAACACACACACAGATGGAGAAGAGAGGTCAAAATCACATACATTTACACAGGGGCTTTGCACCCTGTGAGCTTGAATGCCAAACAATGTCATCTCACCATTATCACTATGTTGCCCCTTTGTCATTTGATCGCCCGCCTAACTTGTGTTTGTGGAGAAGTGAGTGATATTTTCTTTATGCCAGAGTGGAGTGGCTGTGGCGTCTGGCAGCAGTGCTTGTGGGGGATTTTTGGCGTGGTCGGATAGACTGGGAGACAGTGTATGTGAACATTCTTGCCTGATATTTTTTTGGGGGGAAGGTTATCTTGGTGATGGAGTCTGACACTGGCATCACATCCAGGAGTGTCTGTGGATGTTTTCTTGAGGTTCACAGACGCAGATTCAACAACAGACAGGTAAGAGAAGGTGTGGCGGGGCCAGGAGTAGTATTAACAGCGTGGCACTGGTGCCTAGCAACATGGAGCTGGTGGCACTGGTGCCTATAGCAATATGTAGCCGGTTGCCCTACTGTCTAACAATTTCTGGTGCCACTCAATCCCAAGTAGTCTCCTCCAAGTAGACGTGAAGGAGAATCTTTTGTTAATGTTTCTGTTATTATTTGTGGTATGTTAGAGATTAGCAATTTTTCTGGCTGGTGTAAGATTTTCAGTTTTGCTTAGCGGTATTCCCTGGAACTAAATGCATAGGTTAACGTGATCGTCTTTTACGGCAGCAGGTGACTAGGTGGTGGTGGTGGGATGTGGATGGGGGGGGGCTGAATGTTAATAGGGAGGGGTGGGTGGGGGGTGTGGAGCCGCCCCTCCTCCCACACGAGAGAGAACGTCAGTCAGCAAGGGCTTGGTGGTGGGAAATGAGGCTTCACATAGACACCTGCACACCGCGTAACTCATGTGTTAAAGTGAGTCAGTGAGCATCAACACCTGCTGCTGGCATGTGACTGAAGAGCTACGTCACCATGTACACTACGGTAATCAAGGGAGCAGTGCTTACGGTACACAGAGAATGGGGCGATCGGCAACAGCGGACCAAACGAGTATGCTGAAAATGAGGGAAAAAAACGGAAGAGCGTAAGTGAAACTGAGCGAAGTGAAGAGTTCATGTGAAGAGATGACAGTATGACTGCTTACGCAAGACTGCCACGGGTGAGGTGCGGTAGGTGTGTGGGGTGCCACGGACCACCGTCACTGTGGGAGAGGGTCGCTGCCACCTGTTTAGGATGCGGCCAGAGATTGTATCTGGTCTCCGATGGCCCGGTCGACCCTGTACCCCCTCCGGCATGACCATAGGCACACAGTCGTACTGCTCGCGGCCGCCCACCTTCACCGTGATGGCTGTGGACATGTTGAGGCAGACGCAGGCGGGAGTGTGACGTCGCGTGCGGCAGACGGAGAGGCCCACGCACACACTCTCCGCTATAACACACCCATTGACGCACTTCTCCTTCAGGCACACCTCATGATCCAGACAGTCGGTACTCTGGAGACAATCTGCCCTTCTCTGAAGCCCTGGAGGTAGAGGTGCCCTTTCCCCCTTGACCCCTTCAGTTATCTCTTTCTTCTTCACATCTCTCACTCCAACGTGTGATTGAAGAAAAGGTGGTAGGTACTCTCCCGAAGGAGGGGTAGGGACAGAAGAGTCGGTCTTTATTGTCACTCGAGAGGACTCTTCTTCGGATTTCACTGTAGGTATTACAGAATGCACAATCCTTGGTGTGGTGGTGGGCTCAGTTCCGAACCCGAATTCAGGGGGTAGATACTCCTCGATTGGCGGTGAGGGCAAGGGGTCTGTTGTGTTAAAATCGAAGACGGGAGATAGATATGAATCAAAGATGCCGGAGTGAGTCACTGTTTTAACCCCTGGAATCTGCATATGCGACGCAAGAGGCACAGTAACGCCAGGCACAACCCATGGAGGTCGATACTCCTCACTTGGGGGCACCAGCCTAGTCTCCGGCGGAGCTAAGAAGTAAAAGGGTTTGAATTCATTTGTCGCTTGCTGCTCCCCGACAGTTCTTTCAGTCGTTGTAGTCAAGACCTGTGAACTCTGTTCTTCTGGTATGGTGTATCCATAGGCGTACTGGATCTTCTCGTAGCCGGGAAGGCGGGCTCCGAAGGGCAGCTCTCTCAAGGAGGCGCTGTAGGGCTCCTCGAGGGTAAGCTGATGGATGTCTCTGCGGGTCTGAGAACCCACGGTCTCTACAGCCTCCAACTCTGCGTCAGAGTGGATCAACTGGTCATGAGGCAGAGCTAGCAGCTCTGCCTCGCTCTCGATAACTGCATTAAAAACTGAGTTGTGAGAAAAGAGAGGCATAGACAGTCATGAGAAAGGAAGAGAAACAAAGACAGACGGTGCGAGAAGTACAGAAAGTAAGAAATAGAGAGTGAGAGACATACATGATACAGTGAAAGGTCATCAGTCTCTCAAAGTAGAGATAAGAAAAGCGCCATCATAGTAAGACAATCATAATATACCAGAATTAAACCCCGTTATCTCTCATCGCAGATAACCCAACAACACTAACGGCCGTGGAACTAAACCTGTAAATATCGAAATAAATTACAGATATAGGAAGGTCTGTTATCAATAACCGTTGGCAAATTACTAACATAAATTGTTGAAAGGTTACTCTAATAATTTTTACACGATAAAGGGGTTTAATTTTACATAAATTTATGTGGCTTCATTTTGACAATCTGATTATATTAATAATTTGTATAAATTTATAATATCAGATTGTTTAATATCTAACAAACACTGTTAAGTTATTGTTAATATCTAACAAACAATGTTTATTTATTTATTAATAATGTATTGAATATTTTGACTAACAATGCATAGAGGTTTCTAATAAAAATTATATATGAAAATCGGACGCCATCCGCTTAAAATGAAAGTACCTGTACTCATAGTGACATTTAGTGGAAAGTACCAATATGTAGTGATGAACCACCAGAAAGTTGACTTTTTAATAATTTGGACAAACTAGATTTTTTTAACCACAACATAAATATAAGACCTAATCTAACCTCACCTAGAAATCCTAGGCCTAATACAGCTATCTTAGGCCTAATATATTACATAAATGTGCTATACTAGGCCAAGGAATATTTAATTCATTTTTTAGCTTTGTTTTTTTCTGAAGCTAAAAATAGAACTAAATATTCCTAGACCTAGTATAGCACACCTATGTAATATATTAAACCTACGAAAGCTGTATTAGGCCTAGGATTGCTAGGAGAGGTTTGGTTAGGTCTGATATATATATGTTGTGGTTAAAAAAATGTAGTCTGTCCAAATTAATAAAAAGTCAACTTTTTGGTGGTTCATCACTATATATTGATACTTCCCACCAGATACTTACTATAAGTATTCTCATTTCAGGAGGATGAGTTGAGATTATGTGTATCCTGTATATGTTGTACCTAATAGGCCATGGTGCCTAACAAGCCGATTTTCCTGAAATATTATTATTTTTCAAATTTGTTTCTTATGGAATGATTAAGCATTCCATTACATTATATTTGATTAGATTTTTTTTATTTGAGTTCAAATATAGAAATTTAATCAAACCAATTTTAACTTAACCTAACTAAACATAACTAAGTCAGTAATTCATGTTCTTAATATAATAATATTAATTAGAATAAACCAATTTGGAACGAAAAATCACTCTGCTTGTTAGGTAAATTGGGCCTTGCATATTAGGGCAAGTAGTGCGGTTCTGGCTATTAAGTACGACATATATTACAAGCTCTCCGAAGCATGGCCGAGCCTACTATAATAAATTCAAGCCTATTACAATAAATTTGGACAAATTTCTAACCTATTATAATTTACTCAAGCACACCATTAATTGAAAATATAGATTTAATTCAATTCAATCTGTATATATATATAATTATAACAACCACATTTATAACAAAACTAAATTATATACACAACAAACAGACCTTTGTATAATTCAAATCTGTGATTGAAAGATCATCTATTATTGAAAAGAATGTTAACTATATCAACAAAGTATATTCATACCTTTCAAGTGGTGGCAAATACTCTTTATTATATTTAGCAAGTAATTTTTGGAATCCACTGATATATTTATTGGTCGATTCGTATCTAATGAACCTCAGAGATCGATATTTTTGCTTCTTCAGATGAGGTTCGATACATGACAGACTCACACTTTAACTTGATGGTTAGAACATGCGATATTTAACCCAAGGGGAAAGGTGTCAACATCTTCCCCCAGAGGAAATACAGAATGATTATACGCAGGATTTTAGAACATTACTACAACAACAGCTACAGGACTACAGTTATTATAGCTCAAAATACAACAGATGAACACTACATCACAATCAACAAGAGAAAATATATAGAAATTAAGAGGCAGAGAAAAGAAAAAATAATGACACTGAACACATTCACAACATTTAATAAATTTACAAGCTAATCTACTATTTATATAAGTTTATGTACAGTGACTGCTATGAAACTATATACAAAAATGTGCGAACTTGAATAATAAACATAGACATAGACTTACATTGGTGTTGAGCGCTCGCCACGCCAGCCAGCACAGCCAGTGCAACCAATATGAGCCGCATCTCGCTTTCTGTGAGAGAAGAAACGACCGGATTAGAATAAATTGTGAAATCATTTTTTTTGGTGTTGGGTTCATGGCCATACGACAATTAGTAACTGACACAGTTCTCATTTGACACTATTAACCGAACAATTTTTACGACAAAATGAACAAAATTTAATTTGAATTGAACAACAATATTGCAATTTCTGTATAACGCAATTAATACGTGATAATTTATATAATTGTCAAATTTTTGTTATTTTTTTTGTAATAACCTTATAAGTCCCACTGATATCAAGGTTTAGGTGAGCTGTTAGCAAGACATATTGTAATGCCTTGGCCCGCCGCGGTTCCTGGCCCACACCTCGGTCCACCTCACCCTCTTGACCCACGCCATGGCTCACCTTGCACCCTGGCCCACCTCCATATCTTGACCCACCTCGGCCTCTGGTCCACATTGACCCTTGGCCCACCTCGGTCCTCCCCTCCTTTGGGCAAGCCAATAGGAACACCGTCACTCACAGGTAATCAAAACGTCCCCCCCCCCTCTCCCTCCCCATCCCCGAGGTCACAACCACAGCTAGAATAAATTGGAGACCCCGCCCACGCCCACACAGCCCCCGCCCTCGTCTAATATGGCTCTAGCAAGGTCGCCCGCAAGTTGCCACCAACACCCATGTCCTTTGAGGTGTGTTCTCACTTTTTCTGCAAGTTTCACGTTCGATCCCGTTTGGCGAGCAGGAACCCGAGTCTCTATACATTAGTGTAAAGAGGTTTATTTATTACGTGAAGAAATGGATTTATTTATCATGAAATCATGGCACGAGAAAGGGCCGCGGGGCTTTTGATCCCCGGAACCTCCACAAGGTAAGGTAGTTCTGAAGTAAAAGACAGAAATCCTGAGTTTGGAGAACACATTTGTTGCTCAGATAGAGCAGGAGTTAGGACGGGGTAGCAAGCAGGTGGTCAAATTAAGTCACCACATCATCCGACGCTCTTGGTGATGATGCGAGGCCAGCACATGTTTACTTTTCTTGTTTTAGTGACCAAAGGATTTGGCACAGCTAGGAGACGGAAGAGGGGCCTACTGGTAGTCACTGGGGCTAATATGGAGTAACTTGCATGCACCTCCAAACCACACAAATGTTCGCAGACTTATGAAGAGTTGTAAACACACACACGATCAGTTAGGATGTTCAGTACATAAGAACACATTATCTGGTTTAAGAGACAGGGCATACTGCAGTATATATTCTTGGAGGGGGGGGGAAGGATTTGAGATTACTTAATATAGAGTTAGGCCTACATGTAATCATTTATTTAGTTCAGACTCCAAAAGAATCTTCTATCATTATTATAATTATCATTATGCTGTGTCACTAGTATACAGTACGATACTGTAACTATTATTTAAGCAACTAGGTTCACCTTAGGCTCAGCCACACATAAAATTCGCCAATCCAATCCATCCTTAAAGCGCATTAGTAATAGTTTTTACAGTGTAATTAATAAGTACATAATAAAAAAATAAAAAAAATTGTTATTATATACACCATGATTTTCTGTAAATATACCGGCCAAAACGGTATGTAAACAGCCGATCCTGTTCTGAGGCTACTTATATAAATAGTAGAAGTAAAATGAAATAAAAAAAATCAGTTAATAAAACAGATACGAAAAGGAATCGGCACAATGCTGTTGCGAGTCATTGCTAATTAATAAAATGTAAAATTTACTGTAAACAAGAACTCTTGTCAAAATAAAAGGATAAAACGTTATTTGTTCAAAGCATTTTGCATCCATGAAGCTTAAGACAGAGAGGCAGACAGAGAACTAGGCTATGTGCAGTTCCTGAGCTGTGGAGGGAGGATGAAGTGGGTGCTCCATGCAAGGCGACTCAACACACCTTTAACTGTACCCGGCTAGCGTGGGTGAGGCCGGCGTGGGCAGCAGAGGAAGGTGAGTGACACCTCCACTCATGTTTCCCAATATTCTTGAGGCCACGGTTGGCAGGCCGAAGGGAAAGTCTCCTGATCATGGATCAAATGTTCTCCATCACCTCCAGGGGCATACTTGCCATCGCTGATTATTTGTTTCATAAATTTCAGACGGAAGGACTTTTATTCCATCCAGGGATTGGAGGGCTATATATTATATATTATATATCTTCAGCGTTGTGTAAAAGCGTTTGCTAAGACGAGGAACGGTGATCAACAAATTATATAAGCAGGTGGGACTTTCGCTAGGCTGCGGGTAACTTGAGGGTCTTGCGGCACACAAGACGGCTCGCCCACGCTACTCATGGCAGTCATACTGCAGCCAGGTGAAACACATGTTGCATATCTTGTGTATGCTTGAACAGTTATATATCCACGTTAATGTGTTAAGGTTAAATTAAGTGTAAAATTTTAATGTCTAAAAGCAAGACAGATAAAGTTTTTTTGGAGCACTAACATTTAGCATGAGACCCATAATTCTATTGCAAAAGCATCCTATTGCATATATTCGTATTCCGTGCCCTGTTTTCCATCACCCCTGCAAACATGTTGGAATATGGGCAGTTGCAAATCAGTCTGACACGTTCAACTGCAGAAAAAAAAACATGGTCGGCTACGTGATGGCAGGAGGGAGTGCATGGCCAGCTGGACCTCCAGTAAACCAGTTGGACAGCTCTTGCAACCCACGCCTCAACTGTACCATGGGTCCTGCTGCCAGGAGGGAGGTCTGGCTGACACTAAACCCTAAGGGTGTGTGGGCTTTATGAGTTGTGGGGGAGGTGGAGGAGGAGGGATCTGCATTTCCTGGAATATATCTTGCCTAACTGACCTTTAAAGTTTTAGAAGCCTTTTAGCCTTCATTGGGACATAAAATACTCACATGTCATCCGTTCTAGATTAAAAGAAAAAGTCAATAGCGCTTGCAATTAATTTGTAGCCATGAAAGGACCGGAGAAAAATGTAAATATATATTTTACGCGTTATTTTTTTTACGTTGGATAACCGCGAGACGGGTTCTGACATCTCTGAGGCCAGATGCCGAGAGCGAGGCTGTGAACGGTACCCAGCCTACGCGCCTCTGCTGCGGAAACTACAACACTGACAATACAAAAACATAAATAATTGCACTATAGAGCACTTGTTGTCCTCAATGTGCTAGATCCTGGTTAGGCCGCCCACTGCACGCCCACATTCACCTACACCCGGGCACATGGTGGGCAGGGCGAGGCTAAACTGGTCCTTCAACTTACTTTTACAAGTGAACGAGAAGCAACAGGTCTTATACTAATGTTTTCGTAATTTATAGAGGTAAAGTTCACTTTAGTCTGCTGTAGGCGTAGAACTTTATTTAGTTCTGTTGATAAGGCTTATTTAGTTACTGTTGATAAAGAGTGGGGAACTGAAGCCTACAATGAGACTACGATACTCAAGACAGCAAGGCCGAGGGAGAGAAGTGAGAGAACTACCTAAAACCCAGTGAGAATTTAGAATAAGAAGTGATATGGAGAATGAAGGGAGAAATATGAAAAATTAGGATATAGCTAAATATGAACAAAATTGGAAATAGCTAAATATGAAAAAATTAGGATATAGCTAAATATATAAGAAATAGATATAAATGGTTCTTCTAAAAATAACGAGTTATACAAAATTTTTAGTTTTTACTCGAAAAATGTTGTTTAAGTTTATATAAATCTGGTTTAGGATATAAAAACGTTCTTTATTCTATATAAACACTGCTTGTTTTTATAAACTTTTGGTTTATTCTACAACAGCAATTTTGTTTGCCGGCTTACGGGTAGGAATCCAAAACCAGTTTTAGTTCTTCAGAACGAGTGGGTGTTAGATCCCGCTCTGTGCTCACCTCCAGCTCAAGTTGGGGAACAAGCGCGCCTCCAGAATCAAATACCCCTTCAATACACTCGAAGGTGTATGTCACAAACACTTGTGCACACACACAATGATATATACATACATACACACAGATACTATACGTTTTCCCTTCTATAAATACACACACGCCAGATTATTTAACAAAGGACACGAACAAGGGGACACAGGTGGAAACTTGAGTACCCAAATGAGAGGAAAAAGAAACTTTTTCAGTGTCAGAGTAGTTAACAAATGGAATGCATTACGCAGTGATGTGGTGGAGGCTGATTTCATACACAGTTTTAAATGTAGATATGATAGAGCCCAGTATAGGCTCAGGAACCTGTACACCAGTTGACTGACAGTTGAGAGGCGGGACCAAAGAGCTGAAGCTCAACTCCCGCAAGCACAATTTAGTAAGTACCCATGCATGCATGCACACACCCTGTACTCCCAGGTGTTATTTAGGCCCGTGCTGGAAGCCCCCCCCCCCCCCCCCCGCTGGAATCTCGAAGTGACTCATACTAAAGAGCAACGTGTGTGTGTGTGTAGGTGGGGAGGGAGGGGGGATGACCATATATGTGGACATGTATCTGTGTGTGTGTGTGTGTGTGTGTGTGTGTGTGTGTAAAATGAGGCTATCCTCCCCCCCCCCCCCGAACCACACGCGCGTGTGATGTACGCACGTCAAAATTCTCAAGATTCTGAGTTGTACATAATTCCAGATTCTCAAGCGTGTAGCCCCTTGTCCCCATTGTGGCAGCCGACCTCCCCTTTCAAAGGCACTTGACGTGTTGTGGTAATATTTTCATATCCTTCCATAGCTTTCCTTCCTCTTCCAGTTCTCTTCTCTTCCTTCCTTTTCCGTCAACTTCAGAAACTCACGAGACTGAGAACAATTTCCCAATTGTTCGGTGAAACTAGACTTGCCACCTCCCCACAAACTCACAAGAAACAGAGGAATGCAGAACTCATAATGAGGGGGTGCAAGAGAGGGCTCCTTGCCCCGGAGAGGAGGGGCGAGGACCTGGCCCCCAACCATGAATGAGGGGGCCCCCGGAGGGTCCACCTGTGGGCGCGAACACTCTGGGGGGCGTGGGAAGGACCCGGGGTGGAAGGAGAAGACCCTAGGGCGAGGGTATGAGGGCGAGGACCTGG